TTCCAGATGAAATGGCCCATCAGTACCCCAAGGATACCATAGGACCCCAGCAAACACAAGAGTCATCTGGAAACAGACAAAATACTTTTTGGAAGTGGTTTTTCAGTAGCTGGATTCACACACCCAGAGGAAGCATATTAGCCAGCATGGGCCCTGGGCCCTTAATGAGTGAGCTCTGAGGGCAAGCATCAGATTCCCTTCCAAACGACAGAAGCAGCTCATTAAGCAGCTGCTGGTCAATGCCAATAACAGAAAGTGCGAAGACGCATCCGTGATTGATCTTGTTTCAATCCATAACAACAACCGAAGACCAAAGCTGTTTAATAGTCCCAATAATCGCATTTAGAAGCTTATATGTGAGGAGAACCAAGAGGGAAAGAAACTCAGCGAGGTTCATTAACCCTTCCTATGCCTCTGAGTTTCACACCAGTGAATGTCAACCTGAGGGAGAGAAGAAAAATGACAAACGAATGGCCGCCTCTACGTTTGGCCAAACAGCTGAAGCGCCTCTCGCCTGGCTGATTAAACGCTTAGAAAAGACGAATGTCTGGGTGAAAGACAAACTGGGAATGGCGAGTTTGACGGCGCGCCTGCTTCTCTCCGGGCATCCACTAGTCTGCTCTGGTCTCCTGACGCCCTTGCCTCCTCGCTGTAAACTCGAGACTGTGTCTTGCTCCCGCCCTTCATGGAAAGACTCCATCAAAGCCAGACCACAGTCCGGCGTCCCTCCCTAGCTGAAGAGCCATCGCAGATGCCAAGTGACGGAGAGGAGGAGAGACAGCTTCCTTTAAGGGTGTGGCCCCCTGGTGGGTGGTCCATACTCTAGGGTACGGCTCCATACCCATGCGTACGTATGCAGCAATACTGGATTCAGTGGGAGGCAAAAATGAAAACAGAAAAGGCCGTGAAGTTGGGAGGGGGCGGTCGGGAGTAGGGGTGGATACTAGAGAGGCTTTGGAGAGAAGTGGAGGAGTGCATTTGGTCAAAGGACATTGTAGGCATGCATGAGATTCTCAAAGAACTAACAAAATATTATATTAAAGTTACAACGGCGAGACAACAGTAGAAATATATGCATGCATGCTCGTGATGCGTGGAGGTCCGGGTAGCTTGTACAGTATGGAGGGCAGAGGGAAGGCAGACTTTAGATTTGAAAGGGAGTAAACTCCACTTTCGTGAGGCTGAGAGCATGGAAGAAGTCATGGAGTGGATACAACGATGCTATTCTTAATAAAACAAGATGCATGGGGCTGTGCCAAACAAGCCCCTGAGAGGAAATTATAAATGGAAAACACAGAGAGAGGATGAGATGATTCCTGGTTTGGGCTATCACATAGTCTGAAAACCTATAATGCCTGGTGAGATATAACAGACATCAATTTAAAAGCACAGCCGGTTCTATCCAGAGAGGAAACCTCCGTGCTTCCGACGAGGGGAAGAAATTGGAAACCAGGAAAGCAAAGCTTGCCAGTGGACTCTGTGGTTGCCTTTGGATCAGACAAAGAAAGGGACCAGAGAGGAAAAGAAACAGAGCCTTGGAACTGAATCAGTAAATGGAGTGTCTGGCAGGAATCCACATCCTAGAAGGAGGTCTGCTGACACAGTGAAGTTGAAAAATTCAGTCCACCTCTGTGTCTTCAGAGGTGCTTGGCAGAAAAATGAGGCCCCAGCTGATTATAATTCTGTTCCTGATATGGATTCCACGTTAGAATTCATAGCCCTTGCTTTGTATGCAAAACCTTCCCAACTGAGAAATTAATATAAAGCTGAGGGCCCTGGGGTAGCTGATAGGAAAAAGATTCCAGAGAATCAGCTCATGAGCGGTTGTTGACACAGAAAGCCTTGCTTCCTGGAAGGGGAGGAATTACAAGACATACACAGGTGTCTCAGTTAGAGTTACCATCCCTGTGAAGAAACATTAGGACCAAAATCAAGTTTGGGAGGAAAGGGTTTATTTGGTTTACACTTCCATATTGCTGTTCATCATCAAAGGAAGTCAGGACAGGAACTCAAGCAGGGCCAGCACCTGGAGGCAGGAGCTCATGCAGAGGCCATGGAAGGTGCTGCTTCTAGCTTGCTCTAAGCAGGGTTTGCTTAGCCTGATTTCTTATAGAACTTAGGACCATCTCAGCCCACGGATGGTACCACCCACAATGGGCTGGGCCCTCCCCCATCAATCACAAATTAAGAAAATGCCCTACAGACTTACTTACAGTCCTATCTTGTGGAAGAATTGTCCTCAATCGAGACTCTCTGCTCTCTGGTGACTCTAACTTGTGTCAAGGTGACTTAAAACTAGCCAGTACAACAGGCACGTTTCCCATCATGAGAAGTTCAGCACACAGAGGAGAGGAAAGAATAGAGCACCGATAAATGAGATACTAGAAGAAAACTGTCAACCCACTGGTTTAAAAAAAGCGGCTATTGTTGAAGTTTAGAGTAGAACACTGGGCATCAGAGGCCAGAAAGAGCAGAACCGGGAGGTTCAGGGGAAGCCTGGCTACAAGGCAGGAAGTCACAGACATGCAGAGTGAAAGACAAAATTGTAGGTAACAACTGTGCACCCTGCATTTCAATAAGTTATAAAAAGGACTTTAGTAGTTTCCAGTATAAAGAAATGATAAATAACTGATAATCTATTTATATTTAAATATATTTAACCTGGTGGAAGTATTACATTGTGTACACATATACTGAAGCATTACATGGCACCCCATCATACAATGTATACAATTCCTAGACTTTCATGTGTCAGCTTTTAAAAACATCATTTTAAAATTAAAATACAGTTACATCATTTAACCTTTCTCTCTCCTCCTTTCAATCTTTTCCATGCCCCCCTGCCTTGTCCTCTCTCAGACTGATGGTCATCTTTTCTTTAATAATTATCATGTTACATATACGTGCATAAATGTATACATACAACCTGCTGAGCCCACTGAGTGTTGCTTGTATGTATGGTTTCAGGGCTGACCACTCCCTACACCCTCTCCCCATCGAACTCCCCATCCACTCCTAAGAGAGGGTGAGGCCTTCCATGGGGATCATCAAAGTCTCTCAAATCATTTGGGGCAGGACCTAGTCCCCACTCACCTCTCCTCACCCCCCTCCCAGTGTATCTAGACTGAGAGAGTATCCCTCAGTGGGGGAATGGGCTCCCAAAAGCCAGTTCATGCACTAGGGATAAATACTGGTTCCACTGCCAGAGGCCCTATAGAGTGCCCAGCCCCCCCCCAATGACACCCACTTTCAGGGGCCTGGTTTGGTCATATGCAGGTTCCCCAGCTGTCAGCCTGGAGTCTGTGATCTCCCATTGCTCAGGTCAGCTGTTTCTGTGGGTTTCCCCAACATGGTCTTGATCCCTTTGCTCATCACTCCTCCCTGGGGTTGGATTTCAGGAGTATGGCTCAGGGCTTAGCTGTGAATCTCTGCTTCTGCTTCCATTAGCTACTGGATGAAGGCTCTAGGATGGCACTTAGGGTAGTTTTCAATCTCATTATAGGGAAAGGGCATTTAAGGTAGCCTCTCCACTATTGCTTAGATGCTTTAGTTGGGGTCATCCTTGTGGATCCCTGGAGATTTCCCTAGTGCCAGGTTTCTCGTTAAATCCATTAACAGCTCCCTCTATAAGGCATCTCTTTCCTTTCTGTCCTCCACCCAACTTGACCTTCCTGATCCCTCAAGTTCTCTTCCCCTCTTCCCTTCTCTCCTCCCTCCTTTTAATAAAATAGATTTGAAATTCCAGATAGCTGTTTATGTTTGGAAACTTACCGGTTTCTTTCTGAAGGTGTTGTCGCCACCTGCTGGCAAGGCACTTGTAAGTTGCACCTTAATCAGGCTGGCAAGGTCACTTTTAATTTTGTTACTATCTTGAAAATACTCAGAGTGTGAAAATCCCACGATCATGGTCACAGCTTGCAATGTCTAGGCCAGGGGTATCCATCCCATTTCTATATGTGCCAGGGAATGTGCAAGAGTACTCTGTGCAGCTCTGCTTTTATTAGGGGACAAACTAGCCTCCTGCCCATAGAGATGTGAGTAATCTAAGGATGGTTCCTGTGCATGTGTACATGTGTGTGTGTGTGTGTGTGTGTGTGTGTGTGTGTGTGTGTGTGTTTGTTTGTTTAGGGCAGACAGACGATGACATCAGGTGTCTTTCTCTATTACTTTGTAGCTTATTTTTTGGGGACAAGTTTCCTACTGAACCTGGAGCTTGCTGCTTTGGTTAGATTGACTGGCCAGGGAGCCTCCAGGATCCGCCCGTCTCTGCCTACACCAGCACTGGGTTCATTATACGTGCCACACCGATTGGTTTTTCACCTGGGTGCCGGGGATCCGAACTCAGTCCTCACTCTGTGCAGCAAGCAACTGTACTCATCGAGTCATCTCCGCAGCTCGGGGACGACACGTTCTTATAGGACGTATTTTACAGCGGTTGAGAAGGCAGTTTCACTGACTATCATGTATCTGAGAGAGGTTATTCATACACATACACATACATAATAAAAATAAAGTAGCTATTTAAAGAGAAAAGTGACTTCATGTGAGAACGAAAGATGTAAATGTTACCTCTTCAACAAACAATATGTACGAATATACATAAACAGATAATTTAAGAATATGCTTGCTTATGTAAAATATATATGTAATATAGCAAAATAGGCATTGTTACCTTGAGGAGAACAGAAGAATATTGAGAATAGCTTGCAGGGGAACCTGTCATGTCGTATATTTCTCTCATAAACTGATTTAATTATGCCAAAAACGGAACATGTACCTGCTGTGGACTGTTAGCTGAAGCTGTGTTACATTCATTTAGGCTGTGGAACATTTGCTTAGTAATGCAAAAGGTGTGTTGCATTCTTTTGTGCTGCATTTGCTTAACTCTGTGAAGCTGTGTTACTTTGCCTGTCTCGAACACCCGAGTGGTCTAATGAAGAACTGAATGGCCAATAGCAAGGCAGGAGAAAGGATAGGCGGGGTTCGAGGGCAGAGAGAATAGATAGGAGGAGAAATCTGGGGAAGGGGTCGGGGAGCAAGAGAAGGAGAAGAGGAGGAGGATGCCGGGGACTAGTCACTGGGCAACACAGCCGGCCACGAGGTAAGAGGGATGGAAAGACACACGGAATAGAGAGAGAGAAAAGCCCAGCGGCAAAAGGTAGATGGGGCAATTTAAGAAAGGCTGATTAGAAATGAGCCAGGCCAAGGCTGGGCATTCATAAGAATAGGTCTCCAAGTATTTACTTGGGAACTGGTTGGTAGGCCCCCCAAGAGCCTAACAAAAACCAAAAAACAACTACACTCACTTTTATCTCAGCAATGGGAACACAGGTGATTTTAAACAAAGTGTTCGGTTATTTTTACTTCTGTATATTTCAAAGACTTCGTTAAAACTGTGGCCAGGAGGGAAGGGAACAAGACAGGAACCCCCACCCCCCTCTCCGGAGTTGCTGCTCCCTGAGGGACCACAAGGAGAGGAGGGCGTCCACAAAAGGGTTTATTTAATGTCCTTTCTATCAGCAAGAGTTTGAAGTCCAGAGAAGGAAAGCTATCCGTTAATAGTTGATTTTTGCCTTTCACAAAAGAAGTTGCAAATGGGTAGCGATTTGTGACTGTGGGTACTCACCATTCGTTTGTTCAAAAAGCGAAGACAATTCCCCCCCTGTATTACGGACTGCCCATCGCTTCATATGACAATCATATTGCAACGATAAAGCCATATTTGCACTAATGCTTCATGTGTATATAAAGCATCACTATAAAAAACCCATGGCCTTTCCTCAGTGGCTATGATACTTATGGGAAGGATCCAGTTTCCACTCATTCACAGACATTACCTGTGAAGACGGAACAGTGGCTCTAAGAGAGTTCTTCCAAATTTCATCTTTGTAGAGGAGTCTGGGGAGATGGCTCAGTTGGTGAAGTGTTCACTGTGCAAGCATGAGGACCTGAGTTCGAGCCCCAGAGCCCAGATGGGGGGAATAGTCTGACTAATAAAGTCATCCGTGATTCTAATGTAACCATGTACAGTGATTCATAAGAAATTTCCTTGAGTAAAATAAAAATCTCTTCAAGCAAATGGGTTGGATACAATTTACGTAGCTATCTTTATTTGTTGTACAAATAAACCAAGGTAAGACACAACAACAGGCCAGCGAAAAATCCCTCTGGCGATGCAAATAATTTATGAAGAAAAGATAAAAGACCCTTGTTGGGAGATGTCATTCTGTAAAAATGTGTCTAATTGGTTTGAATAAAGCACTGTTGGCCAATAGGGAAGCAAGATAGGTGGGACTAGGAGTTGAGGAGGATTCTGGGAAAGAGAGACAGAGGAAACACCATGTAAGAGCCAGAGGAGTAAGATCCGGACCCCTTTCTCCAGTAAGAGAAATGCTTAGATTATCAATTATGGCGTAAATACTTAAGTCAGAGATAGCCAGTAAGGAACCAAGCAAACGGCCAACAGCTTCATAATTAATACAGCCTCCTGTGCATTCATTTGGGGGCTAAAGCAGCAACAGGAACCAGGCAACTGGCAAGGAAGACTACACTCTACAGACCGTTAATATTAAAAATATATACAAAGTTCCAGGGGAGAAATGAAGCAAAGTGTCAATGCAATTGCTTTTCTAGACAGTGAAATTACAGGGAACTTTTGCGTACACACAGGTTTTATATTCTCTCATTTTATATGGTAGTTATACATTGCTTTAATTACTCACATCTGGCTTTTCCCCTCAGGTCCAAATCAGATACTTTACCAACTGATCCATACCCCCTAGCTCCAGGGGGAAAATCTCAGGTAAGTCAATCTGCAGTGGATGCCTGAGTCCTCCCAAAGTCACTACTGCATTGACATTGAAATTTTCGTTTATTTTATTTCACACGTGTGAGTGTCTTGCCTGCACGTGTGCCTGTGCACCACATGTGTGCAGTGTCTGAGAGGCCAGAAGGCGTCAAATACCCTGGAACTGTGGTTAATGGATGGTGTGAGTCGCCACATGGTTGCTGGGAGTGTAGCCCGGGTCCTCTGGAAGAACAGCCAGTGCTCTTGGATGCTGAGCCATCTCTCCAGCCCTGCGCTGACATTGGTATTAGAGATCTCTTGTTCACTTAAGACATTAAAATACGGAACCGAAGACGCTAATCTCACAGGCGTTTAGAATGGAATGGTGGTCGCTAGTGGGGGTTGGGAGGTTTGAGGAAAAGTCCGTAAATAGGAACTCAACTATAGTCAGACAGGAAAAAGGAGCAAAGTCACAGGCAGTAACGTGTAGCTGGAAGCGAGGATTTTTGAACACTTCTTCCAAGAAGGAATGACAACACCCAAGGAGACAGCTACTCAAAACTCCAGGTAAACAGCACAGAATGCACGTGTGTGAGAACATGATTTGGGGTCCCACCAATGTGCAGTTTTTGCACTTTTGGTTGTGAGCCTAGCCTCTAGCGGCTGAGCCATCTCTCCAGTCCAGAAATACCCTTGTTTCCGCCCAGTTCAGTTTTCGCACTTTTAAGAATCAGGTTTTTTCTTTTTCTTTTGTTTTAATTAGGATTTCAGGAAGTTTTTATGTCGGCATTTGAAGCTCAGGATGTCAAGAACATGTTGTCACCACCTTTTGGTGAGAGTCTACACAGTGAAAGGGATAAACTAAACTCAATGGCTTTACTTTTAATAATCTAGAAATAAAGGGACCAGACCCTCACTCAGCCCCCTGCTTTAGTAGCCATGACAGGCTACAGAAAAGACACGTAGGCCCCTGACACAAGGAAACTCCAGGTCCTCTGGCCTCCTGGAGTCTAGGGCCAAAACTGAACACAAAGAAACTCCAGCGCCACGCGCCGCCCCCCCCCCCCCAGCCTCCTAGATGCTTGGTTCCTGGGAACTGTTTGGCCACAAAAGAAACTCCGGGGGTGGGGGTGGGGTGACCAAAACCAACTGTAGTCTCCAGGATACAGTTCTGAAGACTATTGGTATCTATAAACAACAGGCCACCTGCAAGTAACAAGACAATGCCACAGAATCCACAGAATGTTCCCTCTCAGCACTGAGCAATGAAAATAATTGGTACACAGGTATTTCACGCCGAAATATGACTTTGAGAAAGTCTCCTGATTGTTTCCAAATGTCAACCAAACCTACTGATGTCATCCTGTAATCTTTGTCTATATAACCTAGCAGTAGACAGGGAACTCCACTCCCTCTGGAGGCTGCTGTGACAGCTAGCCAGACGGGGTCCCTGTCATGGTTGGATGAACAATCATTAAGCCTTGCTTTTGCTGTTTAGTGGGTCTGTCTTCCTGGTGGTCTCTGGGGACTTTGCAATGTGGGCACAACAGACTGATGACATGAATGTGTCTTGGACAGTTCAGATTCTGTACGCCCTTACCCCGGGTACCAGTTAAGGCTTGGTTGATTTATCCCTCCAGCTACACCATTCATCATAGTCTTCGGTCCCTCCCGACACCCGCAAATAGTAGCTTCCAGTGAACCCGCTTGACTTAGGAGGACATTCAAGACACAGAGAGGGCACACTGCTTCCCCGAGGACAGACAGGTATCAGAAAACAGAGCTGAAGCAGAAATCCAGAGGGCAGCGGCCGCGGACACTCAGGAGTGCGCAAACAACGGGGACGAGGAAAATATTTAACAAGGAAGTGTAGACAGAGAAGAAACATGGTGGCCACAACGGAAGACTGTAGGGGTCATCCCACAATATTGTCCACGCCCAAAAGGGTGGGGGCAGGGGGATGGGCACAGGCGAAATATTTAAAGAAAGAGAAAGAAAAGCCTCTCTATCTTGGAAGCCTGCCACACTTCTGATCTTCCAGCTTGTGTGTAAGTTCTTTCTCCGGTAAATAAATATATTATTTTCCATATTGCATTGACCTCCCTCATCAGAAGACCACCTGGGGTTTAGCCACAATCAATGCCTTGCTCCTTGAGACCATAAATGAGGCCATGAATTAAAGCCTTTGTAAGTTGTTTCCTGGTTTTCCAAATGCATCTTTCTACAAAGTAAAATAATCCAAGTGGAGAAGGCCAAGCCCTACCTTTTTTATTCTCCCACTGATTTATCCTTATGGTGACTTAGCTTCGGCTTTTGTGGACAATAGACAGATACAAGCCAGCTTCGATGGCTTTTCCACATTCTTGGTTAAAGTATAAAGATATTCTGCACTGAATTGCTCATTGTCTATTATCTCCTTTTCTTTTCTGTTTGTTTTTTTTTAAAAAGACAGGGTATCTGTGTAGCCTTGGCTGATCTGGAATTAGCTCTGTAGACCAGGCTGGCCTCGAACTAAGAGACCCGCCTTACTCTAGCCTCCTGAGTTCTGGGATTAAAGGCGTGGACCACTACTGCCCAGCTATTGTCTGAATCTCAACTTGATAATTACAGTGCATTCCAGGGAGACCCAGTTTGCACAGGCAAGTGTGCCTCCTCTCTGCTCTCAGGGCTGGCTGCCAGGAGGCTTCATTTCTGTCCTTACTGCTCCACGCTTCTCACAGACCCCACTTACCCCTCTTTGCACGCGTAAGTGACCGTGTTCCCGAACGTGAAGTTACTCCCAGTGATGACGGCATCTTTGAGGGCTGGGGGCTCTCCGCAGGAGACAAGGTGACAGGTAGGCGGCGCTCTGTCCCAGCTGCCCGAAGCTGTGCATTCGATGACGGATGGGCCCTGCAAGCTACGGATAGGAAAGGGGGCTCAGGTCATTCCTTTCCGCAGGGTGATTGCTCACTGCTGCGGAGAAATGGAACTTGGAAGGACACACAGGCTGCGTGATGAGTCTTAGTGCGTAAAACAACGAGTCTTCACATTGTGCTGCTTTCTATGCGCAGAAGAGAAATCCACGTCGCCCAGGCCCTTTAAAATTACGAGTGGGCAAAGGGAAATAACAACCACTTGGTGAAAAATTCAAGCCTGATGGGCCTCTTGGTAGAGGAGGGACTCCAGGACTTCTGACTGGCGGATAACTGTGATGAGAAGGGTTAATAGACTAACTATTATCCACTCACTGGAGGGCGGACACCGCACAGATAGATCAGGGCTACCGAGGTCAAAGGGCACGGACCTGGCATTTGGGCTTTGTAGCTCGTGACTCTGACCCCCGGATGTCGTTTGACTTCACAAACCCTGCCTGCCACGCCATCACGTCATGGCTTACCCACCTGTGCTTCCAGCACGGTTCTGGCAGCCTTGATGATTCCTTTCCAAAAATTAAAAAAGCGCATTTGTTTATTTGTTGGGGGGCGTGCATGGAGGTCAGAGGACAACTTGGAGGAGTCAGTTCCTCCTTCCTGTCACGTGGGTCCCAGGGGTGGAACCTGTGTCCTCTGAGTTACCTCACTGGCCCTTAATTCTCTACCTCCTGTCCACTGAATCTGTTCACTCCAGAACCTGTTGAATGTGTTTCTAGGTATAGCCTCACTTTCCCTATTGCTCCTTCTGGGGCATGCGCGCACACACACACACACACACACACACACACACACACACACACTCACTCAGGTGCGCGCACACACTTGCATGCACACTCACACACACATGCACACATACACACATTCAGGTGTGCGCGCGCGCACACACACACACACACTCAGTCAACTAAATGTACAGATTTAAGACCCATACTTTCCTTACACTATGCCACGTACTGCTCAATACAATCTTGCTAAGGCGTGTTTATAAAAACAAGATTTGCGGAAAGGCATCTCCTAAGGATGATGCCGAGCTCCCCAACCAACTTGGCCTTGCCCTTCAGAGTCTGGATGCTCCAGCAGTTGAGCTGCGAGGGCCCCTGGAGTCACAGACTGACCACTTCCCCGGCATCTGCCGGTAAGCCAGGCTCCAAGCAGAACGCACATGCGAGAGTACCCCTACGTTCACAGATTTGCACCGAAAGTCGGCCGGCTCGTCCACTCAAGCCTAGGGACAGCAGGAAGCCAGGCTGCCGGGCCACGCCTCACCTGTAGCCGCTCTCGCAGGAATACGAAGCGATTGAAAGGTAGGTGAGCCCGCTTAGGATGTATTTCCCATTGTTTATGCTCTCGGGACTGGGGCACTTCACCAGCTGGCACTCAGGGGAGGAATGGCTCCACGCACCACTAGCGAGACAGGTTGACTCCCCTTCTCCAGCCAAAGTGTATCCTTTATCACACCTGGAGAAGACAGAGGGCGCCACTGAGCATGAATAGCTCTGTTCCACACACTTGAAAATTGTGTGAGTGTATAGTGTGTGTGTGTGTGTGAGTGTGTGTGAGTGTGGCCATGCACATGCCGTGTTGTGAGTGGGGAGGTACCCTCAGGCATCCATCCTCACCTTCCGCCTTGCTTGAGGCAGGATCACGCTGCTGCACACACCGGACGGGCGGGCATGGGAGTTCTGGGGGTTTTCCTGCCTGTCTCTGCCCCTCACCTCCCTGCCCGGCATGAGGATTGCAGATGTGCGCCTCTGCACCCAGCTCTACCCAAGCTCTGGGGACTCAACCTCAGGTCCTCCATCTCCCCAGCCCTGATTTGCATTATTTTAATGTACCCAACCCCTTAAAAAAGCACAAAGCATTTATGTGTTGGGGGATTTTTTTCCCACACTGGAATGATTTAAATTTTTTTTCCACAAGGCTGAATGTCATACATCTTTCCACAGTAACCTTGGGTAATATGCAAAGGGCAGATGTGAGACTTTGGCTTGTCTCCAATATGTGCTATGGATGAGTAGCTGGGAATAGACAATTCTGTGTTTGAGAGTAATGTGGGCTATGCCCCTAGTCTATAAGGCTTGGACTCCCAGCCGGCTAGTAATCAAGGTTATCCATCCACTGGGAGTGCCTTTCACCATGACGCCTCATGGGGGCGCTAGTGACAACAACAAGCCATTGGTCAGATTTAAGGATATGACTACCAATAGGTTATCAAATTTGATTTCTTTACACTATACTGTACCCAATTAATTTCATACTAATTATAATAATAAAACCCTCCAGGGAAGCTCAGCAGTAAAGAGAGTACACTGCTTTTACACAGGACCAGAGTTTGGTTCCCAGCATCTACATCAGCAGCTCATAATCTCTTGTAACTATAGCTCCAGGAGATCTGGTGCCCTCTTCTGGCCTTCATGGCCAACTGCACGCATGGGGCGTATACACACACAGACATATAAATGAATGAATGAATAAATAAATAAACCTAAAAACTAAACACAAATCTTTATAAAAACAAAACAAAACAAAACCCTGGGATTACTTCCATTTCCCTGGTACTCTACCACCAATGACACGGCATCAGCAAGTGCATTTTTTTGTTTTTTTTTGCTTGTTTGCTTTTTGTTTTTGTTTTTCTTGATAGGGTTTCTCTGTGTAACAGCCCTGGATCTCTTAAACTCGCTCTGTAGACCAGGCCGGTCTCGAACTCACATAGATCCGCCTGCCTCTGCCTCTCCAGAGCTGGTATTAAGGGAGTGTGCCACGGTGCCCGGCCTTACACTACACCTTTGAAGTTAGGCACTCACCTGTATGTCACCTTACTGCCATAGGTGAACACTGACCCGTCAACACCGCCATTTTCAGGAGCAGGCGGGGCGCCACAGGAAACGGCTGGAGGGACGGAAACAAAAAGTAAGTTTTTCCTGAGACTCCATGCAAAGCCCTCTGAGAGCTCACAGCTTTTCAGACCTCATCCCCCTTGTCACGCTTAGACTGGCTTTCAGAACAAAGACCGACATGACCCAGAACTCACCGCGTCAATCATTGTATCTTTCTAGGACCTCCTGACCCAGTGACCCCAGCCATCTCCTCAGTGTACCTTTGCAGGCCGGAATGACCTGATCCCACTCTCCAGTCTCCAGGCAGGTGGATTTGCTCACTCCCAGCAGCTGGTGTCCTTCCTCACAAGAAAACGTGACCTCGGCACCCACCGTGTAAGTCTCGCCCCATGAGCGGCCGTTTTCTGGGTTCTCTGGAGCTTTGCATTTTACAGGCTCTTGAAGGAAAAAGTTTGTGTGGACTGTTGGGTGGCGCACACACACCATAGAAAGTCTCAAAGCAAAAGAATTTCCACAGCAGTTAAGGCAACTCTGAACATGGGGGCAAAGGCTATGGAAGGGGGAGGCGCAGGGGTCATGGACTTGCTGGGCGTTAGCCAGAAAATACGCTGGCTGGCACTTAAAGAGTATTTTTTTAAAAGGTTAGTTTTGTTGTTTTCAAATGATTAGTCTAAATTATTTGTATGTGTATATGTATGTATGTGTTTATGTATGTATGTGTATGTGTATGTATGTGTATGTGTGTGTGTGTGTGTGTGTCTGTGTCTGTGTGGCAGAAAGCACACCTGAGTGCTGGTTCCCATGATGACCAGGGCTGCCAGATCCCCTTGGAGTTGTATTTATAGGTAGTTGTGAGCTGCCCAGTATGGGTGCTGGGAATCAAACTCAGGTCCTCATCAAGAGCAGTATGTTCTCCTGGTCCTCTGTGTGTGTGTGTGTGTGTGTGTGTGTGTGTGTGTGTGAGTGTCTGTGTGTATGCGCTCGTGTACGTGTATGTGTGTGTGTGTGTGAGAGAGAGTGTGTGTGTGTGTGTGTGTGAGAGAGAGAGAAAGTGTGTGTGTGTGTGTGTGTGTGTGTGTGCAGGTGCCCATGGGAGCCAGAAGAGGGTGCCAGATTCTTTGGAGCCAGATTCTTTGGAGCTGGGTTATAGGCATTTGTGAGCTGTCCGGGGTAGATGCTGGGATCTGAATTCATAGTCAAATTATATATAACAGAACACTTATTAAGTAAGAACTATAGTTACAATATTTAGTCCATTAACATTTAGTAAGATTTAAAGAATGTATTTAAACAGCATTATAACTTAAAAAAAAAGTAAAATAAACAAAGAGAGTAGCTGGGTATGGTGGCACATGCTTAGGCAAACAGATATCTATGATTTCAAGGACAGCCTGGTGTACAGAGCGAGTTGAAGGCCAACCAAAGTACACAGAGAAACCCTGTCTCAAAAAAGTAAAATTAAAAGATATAGAGTAATAAAAAAGCCACGTTAAGATGGAAAATACAAAGAGAGTCTGGATACTATATGCTATTGTGTTGTCATTCAGTTGTTCAATTGCTAAGGAAGGAATAAATACTGCTAGAATACACTTGGGTTTTTGCAAGACAGGGTTTCTCTGTGGCTTTGGAGGCTGTCCTGGAACTCTGTAGACCAGGCTGGCCTCGAACTCAGAGATCCGACTGCCTCTGCCTCTGCCTCCCGAGTGCTG